TTTTATTGATAAGCTGTATTTCTTGGCATAAGATCCATCAACATGACGACAGATCTCTAGGCGATGATAATAGCCATTTATTCAATTATGGACGAACTTGATATCCTGAGCAAAGGAAAGCAGCTTTTATGTGTCATTAATGGTCTCAAAATTGATACGAATAAGACAAAACTGTTCAGAAATAAGACAAATTCACACGGTGCTAAATCACGACAATATATAAGTTAGAATCAAATAAAAAAAAAACGTTTCTCAGCTTAATATGTTTCACTTTTATTAAATCTTATAATTTTTACTATATTCTGGTAATTTTTGCCTTGTGTTTAATTTTTCTTCGTCAATTTTATATCACGTGCATTCGACTTGTTAATACCAATATTATAATTTGTGGCGTTCCGAATTCAAGGAGAGGTGACGCGTCTTTCTGAATCTTCAAGAAATTAACGCGCTTCACGAGGAAAAAAACGTAAATATTCATGGTGTATGAACTTTTTTGTTTGTCTGTGAGCATCAGAATATAATGTATATTGGCAATTATCTGTGTGTATCTGAGTGCGTATGTGTGTTTATGTGAGTATGTATGTGTGTATGTGACTGTGTATGTTTTTGTGTGCGGTAGACATTATGTTTGCTAGTTTTTCATGTGTTAATTTTCTATTCTTTATCTCATTATTCGGTCGAATTACGGCCCATATATTATCTATATTTGCTCCTAACTTACATATATATATATATATATATATATATATATATATATATATCGCGTGGTCATGTGTGACGTCATGAGCTCCGGTGTGATTTTCGCTTCTAGCGTCTTATATGCACGTGTTTATCGTTGCTAGGATATAATCCATGTAAACAATCACAGACTATCATCACTGTCTTGTCCGTATATTGCTTAATATTTTGTACAGTAATTGACATCTTTGATAATGGCTTTTGCAAGCGAAAGCTTAGATTGTATAAAAAAATATGGATCAATATTGTGATTTTCTTTCTTCGTTTAATGATAATGTTATTAATCTTATCAGACGTTATGAAAAGAATTTACATAAAATAGACAACGCCTGTCTATATTATTTAATGAAACACGTATGAATATATATATATATATATATATATATATATATATATATATATATATATATATACTGGCCGAGAACCACCCCTCAGCGGACTTTACACTAGCTCCTGGGGAGGGATTTTTGGTTTTTGCTCTTTTACCTTCAGAATCATATGTACGTAAAATTTATAAGAATTTAGAAGTAATAAAATTATTCTATCGTTTTTCGAGACCTTAATTCGGCATAAGCTTTCTTCGTATACGAAACCGAAATATGTAGTTTGCTTACATTTATTTTCCACGTTGTTTTCCTTTCTTTTAAAATCGCCCTTTTTATGATCCCTTCATATAAAGTTAATCGTAAAAGACATTAGGGAACCAAGATTATTTAACATTTCGAATACGTCACAGTACGCGTGCTAGAAAAAAAAACGTATGTGCAACGTATCGTGCCCTACTTAAGTTTCAATTGCGATTTAATTAGATGATTAGATGCAATTCCGACGGAAAGCTAAAATAAAGTTAAACATTTAATAAAGAATCATGTCTTAAAACTTTGACTTTGATTGATATTTAAATTTAACTTTAAATGAATTACTTATTTAATTTTTAATCGTATGTAACTATAGTAGTTATTAGCTGTTATGGCATAATTTAAGTTTATCAAACTAAGGAGGGAAAAAGTGGAGAAAATTAAGTCTTTAACTGTTTGTTTTGGCGTCCAAACTCTTTAACGCGTAGAATATCTATTTTCCATTTTTAATATAAGATTGTGACACAAGGCCGAAAGGGAAATGGAGGAGGTTTGTATTCAGTAACTATCCTAGTCCTAGTTAATCAAAAATCAAGACACATTCATTCAATACAATATACTCAATCACAGCAAGAACTTGACCATCATCTCCCAATCCTAGATGTACCACAATACCACATATTTACAAAGGACCGACAAAATACCTCATGATATAAAAATTTATAATGATCATAAAATGTCAATTTTTTTGACATGTTTCTCTTCATTCCCGACAAAAATATATAAGCATTTCATGAAACATGAAATGCTTGTGGAAAATGATCGCAGGAAATAAAACTAAAAATACAACAAGATATTCAAACTAAAACAAAACTGATGTTAGTAGGACCAGTCGACACCTCAAAATAAGGAGAGAGTGCGCTGTATTCTACCGTTCAAAGATATCAAGCAGGAATAATCACTAATAGAGTTGGGGAGGAGAAATTGAAAGTGATGTGAGAAAAAAACACAAAGTCTGACCCAACTGAGATAAGAAAAAAAAATAGGGGACAAATTCAAACTGGGGCGGTTGTGTATCTCGACATAGATCATAATAAAATAGAGTGTCTGGGAGAGGCTGGGAACAACATTTATTCGCATTAATTAAGGAAACTTAAAACAGTGTAACTCAACCAGTGGAAGGTTTAGAGGAAGCCTCCCCGTTGCGCACAGGGTGCTTAAAAGAGAAAATCAAGCCGCAAACATCTGGTTGGTAGAGAGACCGTTGCCTAACATCCGTGTCATAGTGGGGTTCGAATCCGGTGGCTTATAGAACAGCGGCCAGGTACCGATGGAGCCTTGGACTGATCTAAATCGATCAGCGCGGTTTGCTCGTCGTTTTCTACACCCTCTATGATAGTGCGAAGCAGATGCAGGTTGCTTGGAACTGTTTGTCCTCTCAAAGCACAAGTCTGCACGGGACACAAGAAGCTCGAGATAACTGAATGAAAACGCTCTGTCAGGATCCTGACTAAAATCTTTACTTCTGTTTTTTGCAGAGTTATGGGCCTATAATCATCTAATTCACTTCCAACACCCTTGTCAATTTTTAACAGCGTGATCACACCCCTGGAGATCCGATCTGGGATGGACCCATACCAGAACCAGTTGGTGAACAGAACTCTCAAAATCGGGGCAATTAAGTGCGGTTTCATATGGCAGACCATCAAATCCCGGAGATTTGCCCTTGCCGTCCCTCTTCCATGCCAAGTGAACTTCGCCATCTGTGATCTCACCCTAAGAAGCCAGTTGACGAAAGTCGAGAAAAATCAACCAAATAGCTGTGAAACCTGTTACCACTGAAACCAGGCTCCTTGATAAACCGGGTCTCGAAATGCCTCTTAAAAACCTCACACAGCCCTTGATTGACCACAACGTCTGCCTCTCCGTTGTATTTACCTAACGAATGTATCGATCGGAATATTGATCTCTTCCTTATGCAATTCTTCGCCCGCATTCAGAGTTTCATTAGGTATTTTAACATATATCTAATTACATGACCCTCGTAGCGCTTGCTAGCCTTACGCACTAGAGCTAATGTTATCCCTAGGGATTTCCCAAATATCCAGAGGCAGACTATCCTCTAGAGTCTTCACCTTAATATCCTTATCTAAAGCTAGTTGTTGGTTATATTCGGTCGTGAAACACCTAATCCTATCCTTAATCCTTTCCTACGACTTATTTTCAATAACCTCCCCTAATAACTCCAGCAGAACTAATTAGCACTTGCCGGATGTCACGCCTGTCCAGTAAAGACAGAGTGAACTTCCAGTGATTAGCCATTCTAGACCTAGCGCGTAACACCATCCGCGTACAGACGAGTCTATGGTCTGAATAGTCTAAACGCTGGAACGTGGGACAATCTTACAGATCTAGATCGACCCTTCTAATTAACATTCTATCCAGGAAAATAGCTACCCGGAGTAACGGCCGCTTAAAAAGCCCACGTCCACATCTCCGGCTCCAGGTTATCGAACCGTTATCTATCAAGAAACTCTTCGATCAGTTCAACCAATATATGATCGTCCGATTACCTCCCGCTAGCTTCACGTCTCCAGTCTATCTTGCGGCCCAGTATGTCACTCCAGTCGCCCATTAAGACGAAGTACGACAAATCAACTAGGAACGGCCCCAACTGAGGGAAAATGTCGACACGCTCCCACTAGTCGTTGGGCGCATAAACCGCAAAGACCCGAAACGTATCACTGCTAACGGCAATATCGGCGACGATCAACCGGGCCCTCGCGTCGACATAACTAACATGGAAACACCTCTGGTCACCGTATGCTGAATAAACAACAAAGTCGCTAGACAGCACACGAGCATCAATGTCGCAAACAAAACGTGTCTCCTGGATCGTAGCTACATGTACATCGAATAAGAGAAAACAAAGACGAGTTTCCTTAACCCTTCCTCACATTCAAGCAGGCTAACTTAATATAAACCTTTTAAGCTTGGCTCTCCTAAACAAAGACTGAACGGAAATCTGCGAGGGTCAAGACCCCGACTCATTTTCCTGGACTCCTGGGGCCTATATCGGTCGTAATACCACCTATGTGGGGAAATTTAAATTAAGAGCCCTATATATGGAGAGGTGAAGTAATTTCGTAAGGTTCTTGAGCTCCGGAGACTATCTGAGCTATCTGGAACTTTAGGAATGCATTTTTCGCGACAGCGAGGTGTTCCCCAAGCTTGGGGTTACCCTTGGTGTTGATAATAAGTGTGATTACAACTGAGGCATCCGGGATATTTATTGAGTCTTCCGTTGGAGGTACATTTAAATAGAGGCCTCAATACAATTTTTTAGAGGCCACTATGCAAATTTTTTCCCCTTTGGAGGAATATCTTTATTTCATTTCTTGATAAGTGCTGGAGGAGGGAGAGGGAGAGATGGAGCCCTAGAGGGAGATGAAGGGAGGCTCCTCGTCTTAAATTGTGAGGAAAAGTAGAAGCGGATTAGGACTTGGCATTTTTTCCAGGGCCTTCTTCGCCCTACTTCCTCCAGGTCTCGTCTCCTTCTTACCGTAGTTTTGATCGTCTTCCTCCTCCTAGTTCTGTCCCTTTTCAGTGAGGAGGTTCTCAGTGGTGGTAATCTCATCTACCTTCATATAGATGTCGAGTTGTTGTAACTCATCTAATTGCTGCTCAGGCTGCTGCTGTGATTGATGCTTCTAGGGGAGCTCCTGGTCCTGACTCTGCTGCTGCTGCGGCTCCTGTCTTGTTGGCTTTGCTGACGTTGCGGCTTTGGCTGCTCTCCATGCCGATGCTGTTGTTGTTGTGCCTGCTGCTGGGCATTTTGCCTTCGCTGCTGCTGCTGCTGCTACTGCTGTTTCTGCAGCTCTTGCTGTCACTGATGATACTGATGCTGACGCTGCGACTCAGTCTGCGATTATTGCTGCTGCGGCTTTGTTTTGTCCATTGTTGCTGCTGTTGCAGCTTAACCTGCTTCTGAGTCGGTTTAACAGCTACCTTTCCAAGCACATCCTGTTGTGGAGACGGGGTTGTTTGTTTTGTTCCTTTATTCACCACCTCAGTCCATTCACCTCGACCACAGGGAATCTTCTTTGTTGCATCCACTTTGGGATGCTCCCGTGTGGGGTAGCGTCTTTGGTGCAGGATTTCTGGTTGGATCAAACATTACCAGGTATCCGGGATCACCATAAACCCAGCAGTAAGGCTGGCGATCGTATACGATAGCAAATATAGTTCGGCCGCCGCAGGTGTTCCCGTTGTGTATCGCATTAAATTTGTGTTTGGTCAAACTTACTAGTATTTCACAATCACTGGTGGCACTGTCCGACTTACACTTGATACAAGACAACCCATCCACGGGAGCGTAATCCGAGAAGAAGGCCACCAAATGGGCGTTGGTGATATATATGGACAGCCCGAGACTTCTTGGTGCCCGTGTACTCTGTTTCTAGTCTCAGTATGTTAGTAGTGAGAAAAATCCTTTCCAATGTCTTTGCTGCTTCCTCGGTTGCCAGCAGGATGTTCCACATGGCGTTACGGCCTCTTCCATCGCCTCCATGATGACAGCCATATATTTTCTCGACTTGACGGCGAATATCAACTGGGAGATTGACTTTGCTGCCGCTGTTCATGCCCTGAGATGAAGGCATATTCCCCTCTCTCAGGTTTTTAAAATATTCTGGCTGTTTTGGGGGCCTTTCCGCTGCCCATGCCGACATCGACGGTTTTGTGGCCAAAGGATTTTTTTTTAACTGGGATGCCTTTGCAATAGTAGAGGGGAATTCACCTGGCGGCACAAGAACAACAGTTGGTAAACATGTCAAAACTAAAAAAAAACCTTGAGACAAATAAAAAAAAAAGATATAAGTAGAATATCACTCACTAGACCTCGGACAACTCACTTCTATACGATGAAAGTTGGTGCTAAAAAAATTCCGGCACGTTAACGCGTAGAATTTAAAAATTTCTTTATGCATTCATGCGCCATTTTTATAGTAAAAGCAGATACAATTTCTTGACAAGGGAGGTAATCATGGATTTTTCCACATCCGTCATTTTTTTTTTTTTTTTGTAAAAGTCCTTTCAGTATGAATGTGTATCAGGAGGTCGAACTTTTTAGCAATATCAGTTGTAAACTGATCGTGTAATGCCATTGAAAATGTGCTTTTCAATTTCAGTTATTTGGATTCCGTGTTGATCCCTTGACCAATTCTGCTGAACTGGTTCTCCGGAACATGTCTTGATTGAAGTTGCAGCGTATTGGAAGTTTGTGGGTTGCTAACTTTTGTTAATGATGACTTTTCAGTCCTTCGCTTTGGGAGAAAGATATTTCATCGTTGCATTACAATGTCTTAATAAGAATAGGCCTTGGGGACGTAGATTTTACGACTATTGGTGAAGTTTTAATGCTTTTACCGGATATATATTATTTTCATTTTCTAAACACTTCCTGAACTTTTTTCTTCATAGGAAGTGACAAGCTTCGAGAAGTTGCTATAGACCTTGATTGCGCAGACTCTTTTAAACATATTTTATATATATGTTTTGGTGCCTACCAATTTCTGTGACAAGTTTTAGAAATTCTTTTCTCTATTTGTGGTCTTCACTTTTTATAGAATTCACCCTTCTCAGTAGGTTATGATCTTTTATTGCTGGTGTCCCCATTAATGATCCACTCAAATTTTAAATAAAATCAAATCCTGTTTAGACTTTGCTTTTAGAGTTTTAATAAAAAAAAAAAAAAAAAAAACTCCACGCGACCGATAGCTTATATATGGTGGTCCATATTGTTGATTGTTATATTTGTAATATTTGGGGTGCTTTTTCATAAAATAACTAACTACTGGGAACTACCATTATAATTGCTCCACGATCAAATTCGAAATTAATTATGCTACTGCATAGCTTTGTTGTAACTTTAACTTCAGCTTTCCAGGCTTCTTCTGTGACTGCGTTAATTATATCGTTATTAGTAATAGACCCAAACCGGTAGTGTGGTTCTCCCTCTCGAATTTTAGACATGCCAGTCTGATACTTCATTCTTAAACACATTCGGCTAATTGCATTTTTGGCTCGACAGTCGCTTTGAGTATGACAGAATATTGCTACAACTTATACGTTTATTTGTAGTTATTTCATGGGGTCCTGTATCTTGTGTCTTCTTTTTTATATTCCTTTGGTTTTTACTCTGCTATTATTTGATACTTTTGGATTTGTGTCTAAAGAAATATTTAGAGTTTGTTCCTTGGGAGTTTTCTAGGTTCTCCTATGTATATATATATATATATATATATATATATATATATATATATATATATATATATATATATACGTTTATCTAGGGTAAGCCATTTACCAATTAAACATGTTCCTGACTATACCATCTTTAGCACCTACGATTATTTTCTTGCATTTTCCCAAAATTGCAGCCTTTTACTAAATGCCGGGTGTGCAACGATATAGGCCTCTATACTCGCTGATTCTTGTTGCTTTTGAATAAGAAATTTGTAAGCTCCGTACGCTACATGGGCTTCTCCAACAAAAAAATTCTGTAACTTCGATACTATTGAAAACCAAATAACAACATGTGCTCAACCGAAGAATTCTTCAAGATCTTCGAGGAGATTAATGCTTGAAATTGAACAATATCCAATAGTTACTCGTCAAGAGTTGCAGGATGATTTCCTTTCCTCAGGAATCTGTGTCGCTAAATGAAAAATAAGCAATGGAATTCATAGGAACATTCTAAAGTCACACTCCCCTCGGAAAACTCCATTGCTTTTCAAAAGACACAGATGTTGTCAGGTTAAAATTTAGTATTTTATTTTTTGGGATTTAATAAAAGAAATCATTATTTGAAATCTAATGAGATATTTTTAAAATTACACACAACAAAATATTCGTTGCTTATGTATATTTTTTTGCAGGCTGTGATTGAAATACATAGGTGGTTATCATTTTCAAGGCAGATAATTGCCTAATTTCAATAAACTAATTTAATTACAAGGCCCTTTAACAACACATCCAATTAATTATGAAATATCACAAAATTTGACGTGGTATTTTTTTCAGTTACTGACATTTGAAATGAATTGCTTAATTCTGCATTCAATTGATGCTGCTTAATTCATAAGGTCTATATCAGCCGTATATTAAAATAGGTGCGGAATGGGAAAAGGCGAAACAACGACACATAAAATTGTTACTTTAAGTAAGAAAATGAATTCATATTAGCTCTTAATATACTTGTAAGTGCTTGCTGGTACACAAATTACGGGTAAGCAGAATGATTATCGCGGTTTGGAACCAGGCCAGACAATCTGGGAAATCTCCCAAAGAGTAACAGAGAATCGCCCTTGTAAGATTAACCTTCGTTCTTGCTCGTTTGGCTTGTGATAGTGGGCGGGTTTAAGGCAAAAGGTCCTGGCTTGCTAAGGGCGCCTCTATCGTCGATGTCGCAAGCCATAAACGGAATACATAAAGGGAAATCTATTTGAGAGGTCAGCCAGGAATCACTTACTATTTGGCGGCTATCGATAAGAGCGGGTCAAGAAATTAGATTACGAGACACACAGGAGGCGCTCCTTGTACTGCGTAATTAATTTTACAGATTCATTGGCTGAACATAGGCTTAGATTGTGGTCGAAGAATTTAATGCCACATAGAGGAGAAGAAGCAATTTTTTTATTGCTCTTCTTTAGATTATTCTCACAGCCCCCCCACGTATTTCATAATAAAATAGTAACAATCAAACTTACAGTAATAAAGTGTAAACAGTAATTTGAATCAATTATATTTAAAGATATTTAAATACTACTACTACTACTACTACTACTACTAATAATAATAACAATAATAATAATAATAATAGAGTATAAACGCACAAATCCGTCTTTTATTTGCCGTGTTACATCAGGACGAGAAAGATCATGGCCCTCCGCGATATCGATGTTTCTCATAACGTGTTCGACTTTGAATTTATATTCTCATTCATGTCATATTTATATTTTATCACTGTCTATATGAATCTACTTGTAACTTTGGATATTTCCGATTCTGTTGTCTTGCAAATTTGTTGCTTTGGTCTTCCGTAATTGTGCTCTGAGGAAAGTGATCACTCACGCAATCGGCACATGAATATATTATATAGTGCAAAACTGCGTGTTGGAAATTGTTGTTGATAGTTATATGGAACATCGCGTCTCCTCCCGAGGTTTTTCCTGTTAATAATTGTATTGCTTTCTCCTGAAATCAGGTGTTGTTACGTATTTCGTCATTTGATTGGACCAACTTTTCTCCACGTGTCAAGTCGGGTCACTTGAGCTAACTTGCGAAATATTTCTCTTTCTTTTACTTTTTAGACTTTGGCATTCTTTGTGATACCCTGTGATTTAAATCAAGCTCTGCCTTTGCCCATTGAGCTGTAAAAAGCTATCAATTACTTCCTCAGATTTCAGGGCTGTTGGCGATTATAAAATAATAAATATTTTAAAGAGCTTTCTTTTCAGTTTAACTAAAATGGATTCTGCTCGAGAGTTGACAGTGTCGCAGAAACAGTTATTTATCTCTTTATCGAGCTTTAGGTCATTCTCAACATTTATTTTTCTCTTCGCGCGGAGGTACGTTCTTTTGTGCTTTCCTGGTGAAATCCTATAATATGCCCGCATGGATACGCAGGGGATTGTTAACGTTTCATTTTAACATTTCATTTATTTATTTGTTGTTTAAAATTTTCAAAAACCGAAGAAATAAATATTTACTGTTATTTTTAATTTAGTCAATTTGTGTAAAACATTGGACCGATATTTTAATATATTAACGTATATAATACTTACATTATTCGAACTATTGGCCCCATCTTTATTGCCATATTTATCACAACGCTTTGGCCGTTGCACGCTTCGACCTTCTTCAGGTGGTTGGAATGTCGAACTGAACCATTTATTTCACTCGTTGTAGTAGACTGTTCTAGTTCTATGTGTCATGTCAAGTCGATGTCAATTATCAGTTATCTCCTGTTAATTCTCCCTCTCCTCCACCGCCTTAAAAAAGTATTGAACTCACACTCTTTGGGTCTTTTCACTGGCTCTAACTAAAGGATGTATCCACTGTGCCATGTGTCCGTGAAGAGAACTTGGATAGGGGCATTAACAGGAGATAACTGATAACTGACATCCATTAGACATGGCACGTGTAACTAGAACAGTCTATCCCTGCGAATGAAATAAACGGTTGAGTTCGACATTCCAACCACCTGAAGAAGGCCGGAGCATATAACGACCGAAACGTTGTGATAAATATGGCAACAAATATGAGGACAATTGTCTAAATACTTCAGATAGTGTACATAATACCTAATCTCAGAAATATAGACAGATATTAAAGTATATATCAGTCATTTTCGAATCAGACATTTAACAACAATAAAAACTTGTCTTCATTTCTGAAACAAGGAGGCTTTATCATTATTTAAATTATTTACAAGCGGACTATCGTCTTCATTTTTGTTGTTGTTGTTGTTATAACAATA